GCAGTTCACCATGTAGAACACAGCAGAAGTTCTGACCAGAAAAATGTGAATTGGAATTAGGGAGTCTATTTTCTTTCTGTGCACTGAGACTGTACAGAGGCAGAATCTGTCTGTTGTCAGTTTCACTAAGGTAATATTTACCATGTCAGCTCATCATCCCTCCATCATGACTCTCTGTCGCTCTCTTCCTGTAGATTAAAGACGGACAGGTTTGTCTGGGTTATGATCTCGGTCATGGAAACATATCTGGCTGCGTCCCCTTCTCCATCAATGATGGAAACTGGCACAAGGTAGGACCGTCTCTTCAGTCTTTTATTCATGCTTGTGTTTGATTTTCTATTTGTTCACCCATTCATTAATTTATTGATTAATTCCTTCACTATAGTTGATCCTGTGAACGAACTGTACTTCTCTATTCATTCCTTTGTCACTTCGTCACTCTTCAATATATCCCCTTTCTCTTCCCTCTCAGATCCGTGTGAGCCGTCACAAGCAGAGAGGTCTACTTACGGTTGATGGACGATACAGTAAACAGATGATTAGTCCAAAGACGGTACATTATTTTCTCTATTCTCTCACCAATTATGGACAAACTGGACATACAAGAAGTTCCATGGCAGACTAGTCAAAAGAAAATACTTTCTTTAAGAAAACATAAAGGCAAATGATCCAGTAATAAAACTCAGATCATATAGGCATGCATTTGTTAGAAAAGATTGTTTTATTGTTTTCAATATTCATGCATTCATAATTGATCTTCTTCTTACCAGGCTGACCTGTTAGATGTGGTGGGAGTGCTGTATGTTGGTGGATTACCAAAAAACTACACCACCAAGAGAATAGGACCGGTAAAAAAAAACAAAAAAAAACACACACATACACATCTATAAGAGACATGTCAATAAACTAAGAATTAAAATATTAATTTCAAAACTCAGTCCTCCATCAGGATTGAGGCTCCTTTCTCTGAGAGTGTTTAACATGATTTTCAGTTATACCCAAACACTGACAATGGAGGGATTGCTGACTGTTCATTGATTTTGTTGGAATTAATCAAACGTTCTCCTTTTATGCTCCAAGATTCTCTACAGTATCAATGGATGTATTCGTGACCTTAAGATGGTGGGAGGTCCTGTAAGCACTAAATCCGCCACTACAGGTAATTCATTTGTATTGTATTTACAATTGTACATTTGTCAAAAAGAACAGAATAGAAATAGTTATGTATTTAGTTGTTTATCTTTTTATTTGTTAATATTACAAAAGAGGCATTTAGATTATTGTCTCCAATTAATTAACCTCTTCCCTCCTCCTCTTCGCACAGGTCGCTCTGAGGTGGTCACTGAGGACTTTAATCTGGACATGGCCACACCTAAGTCTAGTCACATGGTAGGACGATGCTTTGTTGCTACTGAGGCGGGCACCTATTTTGACGGCACTGGCTACCTGAAAGCAGGTGAGATGAGACACTGACAAGCCACTATGATGCTGTAGATCTAGTCATACTGTATGTGGTTGTGGGTGTCAAGCAACCACTGAAAGCATAGTTACTTTACATTACACAGAAAATTTACCTTTTTCTTGTTGTCAAGGTGAATAATAAACTCTCTCTGTGTCTAGTCTCTTCTTACAGAGTGGGTCTGGATGTGTCGATAGCATTCGATTTCAGAACCAGCAGAACAAACGGAGTGCTTTTGGCCATCAGTAACCAAGCCAGTGATGGACTAGGACTAGAAATCGTCGAGGGCAAGGTACATAACAGTGATTACAGTTCAGCATTTTAGGAATACAATTATTTGCTTTCTGGCAAAGAGTTACATGAAAAGTTCAATACCACTCACATGTTTGTCAGCATAAAGACTCTGAAGCTCACTAATTAATGTTATTTATTTAACCTAAATGTAAAATCAACAATTTGCCGTCAAGTGGCTATGTGCCAAACTATTTCGTGACTCTGAGCAGTTGCCAGGCAACCAGCAGAGGAAGTTTAATCCAAGAAATGGTCTGGCACACAATTCCCAACAGCAAATAGTCATTTTTACATTTAAGGTTTTGTACAGGTTACACAAAGGGAAAAACACAAAATAACATGTTAATTAGTGAGCATTAGAGTTGCTGGTGGATTGTGTTATATGTGGACAGAGCCAGGCTAGCTGTTTACCCATTTTCATTGTTTGTGCTTAGCTAACCAAACCAGCTGCTGGCTATAGCCTCAGAGTGGTCCTGTATCATCTAACGTTAACTCTTCACCATAAAAGAAAAAGTGTACTTCCTAAAATGTCGAACTATTCCTTTTATCTATTTTGAAAGTTTTATTATGGAGATTACATTTCAATATGCAGTATCTATGTACACAAAAAATATATGAATAGCTGATAGCTACAGACTGAAAATTCTTTGGACATTGTTTCTATATTGCTTCCCTTCCCTTCCCTTTAGCTGCTCTTCCATGTCGACAACGGTGCTGGGCGAATCACAGCGGAGCACATGCCTGAGGGGGAGGGCTTCTGCGATGGCCAGTGGCACTCTGTCATTGCCAACAAGCTTCGCCACAGGTTGGAGCTGGTGGTCGACGGGAAGCAGAGCAAAGCAGAAAGTCCTAATGCACGCTCCAACACATGTGATACCAACGACCCCATCTATGTCGGAGGATATCCTGGTAACACACACCTTTAAAAATAATACTTGCACAAAGAAACATGCAAATTAAGAGCTACATTTTCATTTGCTGTGGTACAAAGAAATCCCAGGAAACAACACACACAGTAAAATAGAAACATCACGATGAAGGGGAGTAGCTTGTTGTGGAATAAAAAGAGAAATTTTGAATACACATGCTGTATATTATTACTGTGCAGTGATGTCACTGTTTTATTTCTCTCGTAGATGGAGTTCGTCAGGCAGCTCTCTCTACCAGAACTTCGTTCGGAGGTTGTTTGAAGAACCTGAAGATCACCAAAGCTTCTAAGATCATGGATGTGCAGTTCAACAAGGCTCTAGAGATTAAAGGAGTCCAGCCTCTCTCCTGTCCTGCTGTAGCTGCCTAACTGATACACAGAGCTTCCCTTTAGTTGTTTCCCCTAATACAGTACTTCAAGGAGCTGCACTGGGCACAATGTTTATATAACAAAAAGTAAATTCATCCCATTTGTTGGAAATAATTTGGCTGCCAGGTCTGGTCACTGACTAGAATCTCAGTGTATTACAGGTATGTACCTACCTGTGGTGAAATACAGAGAGAGTTAAGAACAAAAAAACACTTTCAAAAACATTTTTGCAGTAAATTTGCCCTTACATTTTCTAGTATGAGACCCTGATATTATGTACAATGCAGCGCAATAAGACAATAAATCTATAATGGCTACTAATTGAGGTCTCAAAGTGTTTTAAAATGTGTTTCATAGTTTGTCCACTAAGTTTATGTGAAAGAAGATATTAGTATTAAGCCCTGTGGTTACAGGTGCTCACATTTGGGATATGTGAACATCAAAGTCCTTTAGTTATATTATTATTTTAAGTTATATTACTTTACTCTTGTTACACAAACCTTTCTAGAAAAGAATGAAAAATTACAATATATATCTTGTGTGAATTGTCTACATTTGTCCTTCATAAACCTTGTTCCCTAAGAATTAGTCGAAGAGGTATAGATCATTTCTCCACAGATGATCACTTTTTTCATAAAGGAATAAGTAACACAGAAATTAACACTGTATGGTCTTCACTTTCCCAGCCTCAAAACCACAGATGTTTGAATTGTTTTTATCCATCTGTACAGTAACAGAGGTCACCAGTGATCTGCCTTTAAAGCCCTAAAAATTACAAAAAAATCCAAAACAGCTCAAGCATCCAATGGCTCTGAAGCCAAAAGAGCTTTGGTCCAGATGTTCAGTATATGTTTCATTTCCTAATTATCTAAGCAATTACACGTAGAGCCGACTTGATTAACGCAATGACATGAAAATGAAAGCTAAATACAGTGCCAGTACAAACTATGCCTTTTAATAGCTGCAATATTCCTTTAACATTCCACACTTTATCAGTTGATTTGATGGGGAATATTTTACACAAGCTGGAGCTTGTTACTTTTCAGTAATGTTGAGATATCTGATTGAAGGTACAAGGTTTCTGCAGGACAGTAATGGCAGTGTGTGTTCTGCATGGTGTGGCTGAAAACACTTCAGCAGCTGTTTTTGAAATATATTCTTGATGGCATCACAAAGATTGTCCTGTCCTTCTTTAAACTGCAGAATATGATGATTAGACTAATTATTTTGAAACGTAATTTTGGAAATAAACCATCGTGTCAGGACCCCATGTGGGATTGCTCCTGGGCAGGATCAAAAGTTGCATTAAGGATTACCGTAAGATTGTAAAGAAGCCCGGGGAAAAAATACCCTGATGTTGCTTTTTACTGAAACTCCACTAGATGGTGCTGCTACACTTTGCAGCTACAATGACGGAGCCTGCATCCACCTAAAGCTATCAGAAAGCTGTGTGTGTGTGTGTGTGTGTGTGTGTGTGAGAGAGAGAGAGAGAGCGAGAGAGAGAGAGAGAGATTGGGTTAGGAATGCACTGCTGTATGTGTTAAATGAGTTTCAAGTTGCTTTTGTGTCTAATAGCTTGCAGTACCTCAGTAGACTTAGTCACACCACATTCAAACCAATTACTTTTTGGGGATATTAGTAATGATTTTAATAATAAGTTCCTAATTATCAAAGTTAATTTGATTATATATAAAATTGCCATTAATTTAATATTGCTGCTGTATAATGTGTGTCAAGAGACAAGAAGAGATATTTACCAGCACTTACATTCTGAATGCACTAGAGGGCGCTATGTGACTACACAGAGCATAGATGTACCTGTTAGGTGGAACTGCATTCAATGTTCAACCGCTGCTGATTGGCTCCATTGCACTGGGATTGTTCTGGAAACCCCCCCTTTCATGTGATGTAAAGATGAACAGCTCCTGGAGGAATTAATGGACACACATGAAATAATGGGCAAAATCCCTCTTTTTAATGTGCATTCCTCTTTTATTATCGTGGTCCTCTTTACATAAGGTGAAGAATGGTTAAGAGGTCGGCCCACCAAACCTTATTGTGGCCGCCTGAAGTGGAATGTTCAGAAGAATATAATAAAGCCTAACATTGTACCAACTCACTCATTTTAAAGTCATACACCTGTTTTTGTAAAATGATCAACCTTACCTTTTTTATGACAACAAGATCACACCTCTGCCTGTTTGGTGCGGTTGTTACGAGGCTTTGAGAAATTCTTGCTAAAAACAGACAATAACAGTGGCAGTGGTGAAACATCAATTCAGATTTTTAAAATTGATTTAAGAAGTAGGTGGAGAACTTATTTTATGCCAGTACAGTGACACTTGGATTCTCTCTTGATTAGTGCAGCTTGTGAGGATGGCGCGCTCTCTTTTCAGCCATTGAAGAAAAAGCTCTCTAAAAAACAGCTATTGCTGCCAGAAATGTAAAAAAATATTAATTTCCTGTTCACCTGTTTTCCAGGAACAACCTACCAGCACAGGTCAAGGTGTTAACAGGTTGTCAATCAGTCTGTGATGACCATAAAAACAGACATTAGTTTATATGATAATTATATGAAATGTAAACACACATTGTGACCAACTAAAACCACACAAAGGTTGTTAATCTTGTGCCACCCCACATTAACAGATTGATCAAAAAGCTCTTTTACTAAAAAGTTGGTGTACTACTCCACCCGATCCACCATTAAAGCAGGAAGTCTGACTGCCACACACGTGAAGATTGAGCAGACGTTCAGCTCAAGAGTGCAGATGTTTACTGTGAACCCTCTTATCATCCCCCTTTCCCTTATATCATCCTAGTGAATGATGCGAGATAAAACAGCTAGCTACAGCATTAATCTAAGTCTCATTTTGAAGGCATTCAAGCATTCCATGTTTATATCACTGAAAGTAAAGCGATAGCCTCTTCAGCTACCATATTAACATGAGTGTAGATAGTAGAGAAAAACAACAAGAGAGAAACACAAAGCCTAGCACTGGTGCGGGCTTTTGAGTAGAAACCTCCTAAGAAGAGTAGTAGCATTGTTTATCCTCTACACTGTGACAGCACTGTCCTGGTGTCAGGTCTGGTGACTTATTGCATGATGTCGGCCCCTTGAATAGATCTGAGGTGATTTTCAAAACGTGGTGGCGTTCCAGTCCAGCAGTCTAGGCTTGTTTGGGGCTCTCACACGCCTCCCACAGCCACACCCAAACACCCCAGGGTCCTTTTCCACCTGCTCCCCGGGGGAAAGCAGCTCTTCTGGGTATGGTTCCTCCTACTCTTGATCCAGGCCTTGTCAGGACGACTGCATGAGGCCCGTCAGACGTTTGCCCGTCAGTGACTTGCCCTGGTAGGAAGCACAGAGAGCGAGGTGATGCTGACAGCTGTCAAAATGGCACCAAGTTAAAAGCTTTCCTAAGAATTTAGAAAGAATGGTGTGTGAGGAAAAGTGAAAGAAACCGACGACTGGTCTGCAAAAAAAAGTATGTAAGGTCAAAGTAGTGGTTAGTAGACATTAACAAATGATTGTTAGCACCGATGCACAAGAAATGTCATTGTGGACTACAAGCTAGATATATATAACGCCCAGTAAGACTTGCATGATATTTATAGATTGATTCTCGTCCTTCATGCTCACAGTGTGTCTACAGCAAGATTAATTGTTTGGTTTTGTCTGTATACCAAAGGCTTTAGGCGTTGGTTCAAAAGTATTAATATCGGTCAATGTTTTATGAATCGTAGTACAAATGGCAAACAAACATCCTTACACAGAAAATACATGATGAAGCCAATAGTGTAGAGCAGGGATGCATTCATCTTCTCATCTAGCTTTAATTTTACACCTTAAAACCCTCCATTTATTCATTTATCCTGCATCTCCCCTCTTAAATATTCCAGCAAACATTTCTATGGTCCGTGGTTATACAACTAGACAAATTAATTAGTGCAATGAACAACTTGTTCCCCACAGTCAACTAATCACCAGACCAGTCCCTGAAACTAATATTAAGAAAAAGAACATGTCCCCTCAGGGAAGAAGCCAAAGTGCAGCAGCAATAAAAGTGAAAATGTGTGAATTACTGAGCACATAGTTACTGATACTTACATTAAAACTTTTGAAAGTACAAACTGATCTTGTAGCTTTCATGATTATAACAGTGAGCAAAAATAGCTAAAGTCTGAAAAATACTTAATGACTAACACATATGCTTGGATACAGCAGTGGTGTATTTATAGGAAGCAATACCTGCCTGTTCCTACAGCCGAATTTTTGAGTTTCAGCAGAATGATGTATGTGCAGAGTTTCACACTAGAAGGATGTTTTCACATTCATCTGCTATAAGTGGAAAGTTTCTCTGTGCTCACTGATTATCTGATTTTAAGGAGCATGATTTGTGACATCACACATTTTAAGTCCTCGTCCAGTATGCAATGTATACAAGTGTGATGTAGAAACTTGAAGCTGCCATTGCACACATACTGGGGAAGGACTTCACAGTGAAGTAGAAGACATTGTGTGTCCAGCAGGAACACTTTAGAAATGAACAGAATATATATTCTGGATTTTTTTCCCGGGAAAATCATTTCAGCCTCACATCATTGTTTCAATGTCTTAATACATGTCTGGATGGGATCAGTGTAAGAGTTAAAAACAGGCAACAGGACACTCACCACGCTGCGAGTGAACTTCTCCAGGGAGGTACGTCGTCCCTGCTCTGTTTCGGGCTGCAAAGTCAAAGAAAATGGAAAAAGGGAGAAGAGCTTCAGTGTTCAAAGCTGAATTATTTGCCTGCATCTCACACATTTGTTCACAGAACTTTCAATTCGAAGACGGTTGTTAGAAGTTGTCAAAGCAATTGAATTAATACAAAAATCATGAGAGCATGAAAAGCATTTAGTATGGCGTCATTTTTATATATAGCACTCCAACTTCCATTGTATTTCCAGATTCCTCCATACCACTATCGTTAAAATATATATACATTTTTCATAATTTGGGTGAATTAACCCTTCAAAGCTGCAGCAGTTAACTTTTATAACCAGATTATCTTTTTATTATTACTATTTTCACAGATGATCTGTCTCATGTACAACTGTCAGGATACAGTGAATATTTCAGCAATTATGGCAAAAAGTTACCTACTGCAGCTTTCCTTCAAAGTCACCTTGGTGAGAACACTTCCTTCCTTCATTGCCAACGCTATGTGCTATAATTTAGCTGTACACAGAAATTGACCCATGGGATGCTGTCAAACACAGACACACATTTACCTTCTTCCTTGCCATCAGCAGGTCCTGGTAGACATTGGAGCGCAGGAAGCGTGTATAGCTGTCACTTTTCATCAGTTTGTAGATGTGGTCCTGAATAGAGAGAGAGAGGGTAAGAGAAAGAAGACACATAGGTCTCAATGTTTGCCAGAACGAAGAGGAGGGTTTCATTTGTAAAAAATATCTGGTTCTGTGCTAATGACATACAAAACTTGCAAACCCCCGTCAGTGAACTAAACGAGACAGTCACTGAGGGAGATACATTGTTGGAGCACATTACCAAGTAACTGACAGGAGAATTTTTTTTTTTTTTTTTTTTTAACTATTCCTTTTTTTAGCCTGTAACAGGAGAGGAAATGTGATAGACACCACCCAACCCCCAACATTTCTACCCACAAACCTTATCTATCTCCCAAAGAGGCGTATTCTCTAGAAATCACTCTACAATATAAACCCATTAGCTGATATTGGTGAAGCGTGTAAGAAAGACAAATGGGGCAGGCAACAGTGTGGGATAGAGTTTTTCTGAAGAAGCAGCACTGACACTGATCACCTGAAGAGATAGAAATTAAAAGGGTGATGTTTCCATTCTGAATGGCACTGCAGAGTGAAAGAAGGGGGGAGAATAGTGTTTTGTTATTACTGTATTATTCCACAACAACAAAGGATTTTCTATAGGAGAACATCTTTAGGGAAATATGGTTATTCCCTTTGTTGCTCAGAATTAGCCGAGAACATTCAAGGATCAAAGTCCAGCTTGCACAGGGAAATGCAGTTTGTAGCCCCCTCGTGGCAACACACACAGAAAATATATAAACACATATTCAGTTATTTAATTTACAATAAAATACAGAAATATAAAAGAACAAAATATATAGAGGTAGCACTACAGGAAAAAATAAAATAGATAAGACTAAATTGTAGTTACAAAGAAGTTTCCTATATACATACTATATATATATATATTTACATACTATATAGGTGCCTATATTATACAGGTGCCAGGGATTGAAGCAGTAGCCCAGATGCATGCTCTACTTCCTGAGCCACGGCCCACCTTTGGCATTTTGTCACATTTCGGTAGAGCTGAGCCGTTTTCCCCTGTTTCAAGTATTTATGCTAAGCTAAGCTAAGAATCTGCTGACTATAGCTTCATACTGACTGTATGCTTAATCAGTGGTATCAATCTTACACACTGCCGTACACACTGTACCCTACAGTGTTTAAAAGTAATGTGAGGATAGTGAGTGACTAGTACAATGTAATAGCCAATTACTCATTATTTTATCAAGGATGAGACTGTTCTCATTGGTGTGAGGTCAGAATCGTGAATGGATGTCTACCTCTCTCTATTGTAGTCAAATCTTTCTCATACATTTTGAACTTTAAATACTCATTCTGATCAGCTGGCTCACTCTTTAGCCTGCCTGTACATTAAAAGGCAGCGGGTGTTTTATTTACGTGTATTACTGAATTTCCGTGTAGCCAGACAGGTTAACCTTTAAGCTGACAGATGGGAATAAGGAGGTTTGGCTTTTGCATCGCCTAAAAGAGACTCTTCATGGCATTTTAGCTACATGGATTATTTTCTCGCTCTTTCTTTTGAATGTAATTCATGAATGTGTGTCAGTTGTAGATTAGTTATAATTGTGTGTGGGAGAGGGCGTTAATGAGGTTTTAAAGGGATTTTTCACTTTTTTTTCAAATTTTATAGTTTCAATAAAACTGGGAACATTAAACCTGGAGTCCCTGTAGGGTGTACAGTGGGGTCCAGAGCAAAATGAGGAACACTTTAATATCACTGTTATTGTTCTACCAGGGAGGCCTGTATAATGAGAATATTTGACAGGTTTGATGGCACAGTTCCAAATATTGTTTTGACTATTAATAAGTTGTTAAAAAGAATGTGAAAAACATCAATGTGATAATTTAACCTGAACACAATACACTAAACTCTGCATTGCTATACCTTCTCCCTTTCTTCCTGTATCTTGTGTTTGCTCACCTGTGCATCCTCATAGCTGTATCGTCCGGGGTCTTTCAGGTTCTGGCTTGTGCGTTCATAGCTGTGGGAGTCCAGGTTGATGGAGCTGGGTGCCCCCTCAGCCAGGAACTCTGCCCAAATGTCCTGTGCCCTTTGTGCCACGTCCTGCTGGGGCATCCTCTTCAGGTCCTGCACTGCCAACCAGAATCTGTAAAGCACATTAAACCCACTTTAGATAATTATTTAACTAAAGAGTGTCTTAACAACCTGAACATTACCAACACAGAACTTATCTTAAGTCTGATTTTCTAGGTACATGTAAATTTGTTGACCAGATTTTTCCTTAAACATATTTGATGATTGTGTCTTCAAAACATCTAAAACAGGTGAAACCCAAATTATAGGTGGAATTATTTTGTTATCGGTAACTTCAAGTGTAAATATGAGAGTTACTGAGTTGTTTAAATTGACATTTTTTCAAGCAAAAATACAAACAGTAGGGGTAGTTAAAAAAAATTATGTAATATGTATGTATGAGAGGTAAACACAACACATTTTGAAGATAACAGGCATAATCTATAGACTTAACATGTCTCACAGTGTGAGTATAATACGGTATTAGGCAGTTTAAGAAACTCAGGTGTGAAACCTGTGAAAAAAAGGACTTAGACTTAGACTAGACTTCAATAATTCACTGTGGCTTTTTCAGACTTTCAGAACATCCAGTATAAGATAGCCCATATGCAGGGAAGCAGGTCATGAACTGTGTTAAACACCAGAGGCAGCAGAGAGGCAGTGGATTACTGCCTCCAATATTGGCTTATATCTATATTGATCTGTGGACTGGTCCAGCAATATAGAGAGAAACACCTTTGGGGTCTGCTTTTCCCTCTGGCTCTATTTCTCACTCACTGTCATGCTCTCCCTCAGTAGTGCTCCTCCAAAAGCTCCCTCATAAAAGCAAAAGCAATTAAAGGTTCGGAAAAGAAGAACAAGATGGGGGGGTAAGGAGACTGGTGGAATAGCCGAGAGATGAGGGGTGATAACGGTGTATGCTCTCTCTCATACCGTGTATGTGTGCGTCTTATCTCCCTCTGTAGCTCAGAGGTATCAGCAACCTCTATGCTATCTCTCACAGTTCATTCCAGACTCTAAGATCCCTAATAAGTCTCTTCTCTCTCTCCCCTGCGTTTAGAGATGCTCTCTCTTCCTATCACATCACAAACACACCCACTTATTGCTGCTCTGCTGCATAAAGGTCCAAAAAGATGATATATTTCGTGTCCAAGTGAAGGATGAATTTAATATTTGTACTTTGAATCAATAAACAACAAGTCTGGGAAATCAACAAACTCGTTGAATTACAAAAAAAACATGCAAGGTTCTTCCCCCACTGTTTATTTATGGGATATGGGTGATTAGCCATACTGTTTCTGTTTGCCACCTGTATGTTAGGTTTGGATGCTGGGGGCCTGGATGTGTATAAATGTATGTGATAAAACAGGGAGAAGATGATGGGGAGGACTACAGGTCCAAATCTGAGACAAGCTCCAATGCCATCTCACAGGCTGTATGGATTTTTATAATTTTTTTTAAATTGTGGGCAGTTACATGATAGATATATATCTTTGTCATTAGCGGAGATGCTTCACAGAAGAGCTGGGTGGATGCACAAACAGCTGTTTGTAAAGAAATAGTTACGATTAAATGATTAAATGTTCGGATTAAACAAACAAGATACAAGTTCTCGTGTTTTTGGTACAGCAGATTTATTACTGAACCCTGAAGAGAGCCAGGCTACACTTCTGAAGTTTGAGAACCACTGCTTTCTGCTAAGCTAATTGTGGCTCCACCTCCATATTTAACACTCAGATAGGTATTGTGAAAGTGTATATTGACAAAATGTTAAATTAATACTTCAGCTTTTTCATGCATTTTAAATACCACCCCACACATACCAGCATAATTAATTATAATGATTCTATTCTACATACTCATATAGCTTTTTATTGCTCTTTTCAACCAACTTTCTCAACAGAGATTAGTCAAGTTTTCAAATAAGGCTTTTTTCTATGATTGCTGTGATAAATTATTTTCCAAGAAACCAGTCACATGTATCTTGCTAAGCAAAACTCAGAGTGCAAAGATAATGTGCGATGCAATTGATTCTTTTCTTTGTGTGTTCAAGGTACAGATCTCAAGTACCTCCCAAACAACATCTCCCCATGTTTACACTGTGTAAGTGTGTTGAAATTGTAGGCTAAAAAGGGATGCAAAAGAGAAATGTGTGTTTTCTGGTTATTTTCATACGAGTGAAAGCTTTTGAAAAACTGCTATACTCTTCACAATGTTACAAATGCTCAAACTGCTGCAGCACAGCTTTAAATTTACACAAAACTCAGCGAGTTGAATTTCTGTAAACTTTCCTTTAAAGTTGGCCTCCTTTCCCTTCTTTTATTTATTCACAGGAAACCCTAAATGTAAAATGAACAACTGCTGTGCACCACATGATTTTTCTTGCTCACTGGACTATAGTATGTTTAGAACTGCAAATGAACTGGCAAACGTCACCATAACATTAAAAAAAGAGAGGATTATCGAAGCATCTTGTGTGCTCACCGCAGGTTTTCTGAGCTAAACTCTGACTCCAGGAATTTGAGGAAGAGCTCCTGTCCTGCCGGGTCCTTCAGGGCTTCTTCAAGAGAGAAACCCCACTTCTTCACCCGCTGCTGACTGGGCTCCTTACTGGGAGAGGATGGAGGGAGAGAGAAAACAGAGTCAGTATAAACATCCACCTGAAGCTTCCGCAGGCAGGTCAAGATTTAAAAGATTAAAGATTAAATAAAAGAGGAATGTTGGAGAAACGCTCAGTGTGGGGAGGGTTGACAGATGAGTACAGGGGAGGGGATAAAACATTAAACTCTAAAATTCGATTGGTCTGTGAGAAGTCTAAGAGGGCTGATGTTGATGTGATATTGGTGTCTGGAAAGCTGCGCATTATGACAACGTTCATCTGAAATGCAATCATTTTAATCTCTGCGGGGAATATATTTTCTCCTATCCTGCAATTAATCAATTCAGCTGAATTATTAAGCTACATTAGGCACAATGATTATATGTCTGCTGTAATTAATTCCTGCATAATTCAGGCAGGCCAGGAGTGCAGAGCATGGTGCAACTTGCTGAGAGCTGTGATTGCTTTCTCTAAGACGTAATACTTCAGTTAATTCTTAATAGGTAACATTTGAATGGATGATCAATAATTTGACATTGACCTATTTGTCTGTAACACATAACCTGAGGTGGATTTGGATTGATTGAGTGAGCTGAACGACCTCTAAATTTCCTTCAGTACTTCAGAAAATGGTCAATCACTCAAAGTAATTACCTATAAATATCCAGTGCTGTTAAATCACTGTTAAGTCTACAGCATTTTTGTTATTTATTGAAATTTGTACACAGTATGTATTCATATGATCTGTAGCAAAAACAGGTTGCCTCTCATCAAAACTGAGAAGGCTTTTTTTCAATTCAATAAAAAAAAATTCAATTTTAATTAATTTAAAAGATGCACCGTCCAAGTCTGGTGAATTTTCTCATACACACCTGATGTAACTATAATGACGTCAGACTCAGGATGCTTTAGTACAACAACAATAATATTATACATACTTTGTAGACCAATGCTAATCAAAAGTAATCAGCCCCCTTATCAATCAATCAGTCAAATCTGTTCTGCAGTTTGTCTAACTTTGATATGTAACTTGACAGATAAATCAATCAAATGAGGAGGAAATGTTTACTGGCTGTGGAAGTGAAACTGCTGTGGGTTCGGGATTTGTACCTGGCCTCCAGATCCCAGAGGGAGGGATCATCACTGGTCCATGGGTTGGACGGTTCGGGACCCGTCACAAAGGGGTCATACTCAATGTACTGCTCGGTGTAGCTTATCAGGCTGACACATACACACACACACACACACACACACACACACACACACACACACAACACACACACACACACACACACACACACACACACACACACACACGGGACAGAAGACATAAGAGGTTAAGGGCATAGCTGGTCAAAAGTTTACAAAGTTTAGTTTAGTTAGTGACTTTGATTTTGATCATTCTTTTGTCTACCGGATAATTGTGACTTGAATGTTTTCAAAAGTTAATTGAGTAAATTATGAAAAAAACAAACTGCTGAGTAGGAACATCTGTTGTAAAGTTTTACTGCTCGAAACAATAACTCTTCACTGCAGCTGTAACAGGTTTGATCACTAACACGTTTTGTTAAAAAATACCTTTTACTGCAACACAGTTGTGTTTTATATTGAAACTAGATTCAAATTATTATTGATCTTCGATTCACACCAGAGAATATGGCCCACTTATTATGTGTCAGGAAATTGTTTTAGCAGAGCTTTTGTGTAACTACCCCCCACCATAAGTCTTTGAATCAGACTACTACTAACTAACGAACACTATCCAATTGTACTCCGTTAGCAACAGCAACTAACTAATCCGTCAAACACTGAATTAAACAGAGGATGTCAAACAAATACATGTAATGATTAGACCAAAAAGAAATCCTGTCAGATGTATGCAGAGTACAATATGCAACAGTCGCGCACAAGGCAAGAAGAGAATCAGCACCACGGACAGCGACAGCTTGATCAGAATCCATCACATTGCTCATGTGCAGTGCTTTCTGAATCAAGAAAATCATGAAATCAAGCTTTAATCACTGAACCAGTTAAGTTTAACGATCTGGAAACAAGTGAATAAGCCCAAACAAGGACAGATTTATGAGCAAAATAAATGTTTTGAGTCCACAAGAAAGAATTTTTATCTTTGCTCACTATCCTCAAAGCTTTGCACTTTGATAGTTTCCATTCCTAGCATGAAACCTCCAACCCACAGAAAGTAAAATCTAACTGGAAGCAAAGCGTCATCCTGTGAGAGCCAGCCTTTGACTGTACACTGAACATCTGCAGGCTTCTTCCCAGTGTGCATCTATCAGCGTTTTGATTGCCTAGAAGACTTTGCAAGTGTTGAAATAGCTCAAAGACATTATAGAAGCAGTTTTTGACTGAGCTCTGAATCTGTACTTGTGCATGGATATTTTTGCCTTTACATTCTTCTGCATGCATTATATGAATCCCTATGAGTTCAAGAGTTTTATGGTAAATGCTGGTGAGACTGCAGAGACTACTTCAGGCACTAAAGTACAAGTAAGTAAAAAAAAAATACTGCTGTACACCCACATGTTAGGAAGTGATTTTCTACCCACAGTTGTTCAGTCAACACGTTTAACATATTGTTCAGCAGTTATCTTGTTTCAACAGCAGTTCAGTTTTACTATAACAGCTGGATATTTGACAAAAAAAACCCATCCCAACCTACAATAGTATGTACTTAACTTAATTGTTCCTAATGTGAAGTGATTAAAAGCTAAATGTGTAATACTAGTTGTTTCGATTGTTATGATCCTACATGATTGATGTTGTTTGGCACGTTGTTTCTTGTAGTGTTTGGAAAAAAAGCCCCCAAGCTATCTGCTCTGTGGAGCACCAATTAAACTCAGCTCTGTGGGTGAAGTCAGGAGGTTAAAGGGTCAGGGAGGCAGAGCAGTGCAGCAGCTAGCAGTAATCACAGTTTTCTGCTCTGCTGGGAAGTAATGTCTGTCCTGACTGACTGAACACAGGATGGGACTGTTGGGGTAAGCAAACACAGGGGAGAGTGTGTGTTAACTATGCAAATCTTTTTCTTTTTTTTTAATAATTTACTGGGTAGATGTACACCGATCAGCCATCACTGATTATCTGGTTCATGGCACATGTCAGTGGGTGGAGTATATTAGGCAGCAAGTGAACATTTTGTCCTCAAAGTTGCTATGTTAGAAGCAGGAAAAATGGGCAGCGTGAGGATTTGAGTGACTTTGACAAGGTCCAAATTCTGACGGCTAGACGACTGGGTCAGAGCAGCTCTTGTCGAGTGTTCCCGGTCTGCAGTGGTCAATACCTATCAAAAGTAGCCCAAGGGAGGAAAAGCGGTGAACCGACGATCGTGGGTGGCCAAGCCTCATTGATGCACATGGGGAGTGAAGGCTGGCCCGTGTGGTCTGATCCAACAGACATAACTCTAGCTCAAAATGCTCAAAAAGTCAATGCTTGTTCTGGTGTCAGAACACAGTGCATCACAGTTTGTTTGCGTATGGGGCTGAATTAGTGTATATAGGTGTCTCTATGTATTGTAAGTTTAGGAGTTTTGTTTGGATATTTGGTGGACTGATGAGCTGGCTTTCGGTTGTGATGTTGATCTCGTTTTGTGTAGGGGGATGGTTGTATGCTTTTGTATAGTATGGTGCGGCAAAAAACAAAACAAAACAAAAACAACGGAGAGAGGAGTGATGGAAACACATGTACATGCATACATATGCTTTGTGTCTCTCTTGCACTATAAAGACGGTGGATAAAACAACAAGAATGCCTGTTCAAGTTGATGCAATTAAATGCAATAAGCCCACAATAAATATAACATTTGTGACTTACTAACAACTTACAATGTTTGCTTTGAGGTTGTGTCATAGTAACCTTAATTCCTATCTCCACCCTGCAGCATCTTTGATATTATCAATCTCTATTCTACCTACCCAAATGCTTCGTACTCTATCATTCCATTAGTGTCTTTATTTGACCTTTAAGTTTTATTTTAACAAGTGAAAAATCCACCAGCACAGTAAGATAATAATAGTTAGTTAATAGTTTCTTAATCAATGTAACTCTAACATGCTCTATTACTTCTTGGTTTAAGATACAGAGACGGATTTCTAGAGTCTTCCTTAAAACATGTGGATTTTTAATGGCAGGTTGAAATATATCTTCTGCAATAGCACATTTTATTTCACTTATTTAAAAGTATTATAAATAGTAATAGTAATAATGTGATAGATAAAAAATTGAGGACTGTAGACAGAAATTATTTTATAAGAAAAAGATTTTTGCAGTGCCCATAGAGCATTTCTCGATCACTTTAATTATCACCCTGGACCCCATTTTAAAGCATTAAGTTTGGTAAGGCAGCCTTTATTTTTGAAGAAGCTCTTTTTATACTCTACTTCCAAATGCCAAACTGAAACTACCGCAGGTTCAGATGGGGTGTCAAAACCAAATTACCTCCATCTGTCACTGCTCTAGTACAGATACAGTAAAAGGGAATTAGTATAGAGCTCATGTTTGTCTGATTATAGATGGTCAGAGAGAGCACAGCAGATGGGAAAGCAGGCAGGCGGCCTCTTTAGAAAAGGTAGTGTCTCCTTTTCTGCTAACATAATGTGTAGATTGAAAAGATAAAGATTAGACATGCCCCACAAGATGTGCAGTATCTTTAGTGCAGCCAAGAAGAGACTGTCCTGTACCTTTCAGCAACTTTGGACATCTTCATACGGTGACGGTCTACCTGGGTGTTCAGGAATATGATCTGCAAGAGATGATGACAGGAGTGAGTGTTTTCTTTTTTGGTTTGATAAGAGAACGGCAAATTTAAATGGTCTAGTAGGTGCCTTGAATTTTCTGAAATATCAGTGTATGATTGCAGCAAAGTACCTTGGTATTACTGTAATTAATAAACAAGGCTATGTTTGAATTGGTTGACAGCCTTATTGGTAATGTTAGTGCTACTGTTCCTCATAATTAAGACCCATTTTCTACTAGGATAGTTGTATCCTCTCGTTTTTGGTTTATCAGTTTTGTCTACCATTGTTGTTTTTTGGTGAAACTCAAATCACCCTTTGTAACACAGCAGAGTTCCTGCAAAATGTAAATAAGTGTAAAACACAGTGTAGAGGCTGTCAATCTCTCTAGTGCTTCTGTGGCAATGACATCAAATGCAGATGAAGTAAATATCATACAGTGCAGTACACATATATTATTATTTAGTATTTTTTCTTTTTTTATTCTTCAACAATGCACAAAATTTGGACAGATTTTTACCTCTTTCTCCACATCCTCCTTGGTGCCTTTCCTGCAGTGGTGCGCAGGAGTGTGTATGGGAGACTGAGACTGTGTTCCCTCCTCCACCAAACCATACACTGACTGGGCCGTTTGAACATGATGAGAGAGGAGAAGTGGGAGATGTAATAGAGAGAAAGAATGTGCACTTATTATTATTTTCCTGCAGTGTAGATAAGGCATGAGAACAGCTGCCAAGAAAGCCACAGAGTATTGTGTTATAAAATTAAAGGCACAAGTTTCAGTAATGCAAAAATGATTGCTTGCATGGAAGTAAATCTCATTAAGGAACAGTGTTGATATGATAAGTTATTTGTAAACTTATGTCCACTGATTTCTTAAATCAAATTCATCTGTACTTTTAATGAATTCCAACATTTAAAGTGTTTTTCCATGTGTATATTTCTGTTTATTCACATACCAGTAAGTGAAGGTTTCCTAAAACTACTTGAATTTTCAAAACCTTGGACAAACTTCATCTTCAAGGACTTAAAGAAATAATAATATCAAAAGCATCACATCCTTGTCACTGGAGCTTATACCTTTTTAACTCTATGAGGGTTCTTCATACGTCTACATTTCCTGATGTCCATTTCTGTTGTGTTAACACATCCAGGCTGTAGAAAACATGAGCAAAGAAAAACAATTATTAGTCAACACTAGTGATTTTAAGTCTTAGATTTCAGGATATCTCTGCCTTATTTCACAGTAAATCCAAGAGAGCTGTGGAAAAGAGACAGTATTTGGATGTAAGATGAGGTAGGCAGCTACAATCTCACATGCACACACAGATGCTTACCACAGGTCTATGGACGTCCCAGAAGGCTCTCTCCTGACTGTCAAGGATCTTCCTCTCGGTTTTATCCTTTTTCCTGTCGATCCTGCAGATGAGATCAGTGTGAGAAATACAGCACACAGCTTTCCTGGCATCAGCATTAGATGTGGTAGTTGAATCAGAATGGGAGGATAAGAAGGAGAGAGAGGTAGTGTGGAGATTATACAGTCTATATGTCCATCAGTTTTTAATGATACTGAAGCACATGTGCTCACAGGTTTAGCCTTGTCCCTGCACCTGTCTCTGCACCATCTCTTCTGTTTGCTCTGACAAATCTACAGCAAGGACATCATTCCTGATCATTTGGGGCTGCAAACCTGCATCCACTACAATGCCTTTACTTGGAAATGTGGGCTACATACATCGTAATAAATGGCACAAACAATGAAATCTGCTACCACAATTTTACTAATAGCAACTTAAAACATTTATTCAAATACAGTACATCATAAACATAGTATATTGAGTTTTTAACTGGTTATGAAACCGTTTGAATTTAATACTATGACCTGCATAAGCATATGAGACCATCAATGAGCAGGTTATTTATATGTAGTTAATGTCTGCCACTGACTCATATTCCCCTTTAAATCAATGAAACAAGCAAAAAGAAACTACTGTTTTTGTCCACAGGAGCCCCCAGAATCAACAAAAAGTGAAAGCTCCTTGTAGGGACAAATTCTAAGGACTATTTTACGTACATACTGCTTTATACTTTTTGTCCTTTATTGTTCATTACATTTATTTGACTGGTATAGGTTCTAGTATCAACATATATTTAATATCTAATCAAATATTTTAAATTGTGGGTTGCAGGTGTCTTTTCACACAGTACAGATCATGCAGGGTCTAATATAAGTGTTTTCACTTTACCATGTTACTACCCCTTCATCCACATTCAGTGTATATCTATAGATAAATCAAATCCTTTGCAGGCAGCTCTATCTTCCCCTCCTTTATCCCTCTTCTGTCTCCATTTTCCAATTTCCATATGGTCCAAAAGCACACCGTCCATCATCGCTGGTTCAACAGAATTGATTTATCATGTCATCTACTTCAAAAACATAAAGCAGTAGACCTAAAGTGCCCCGATAACACTGGATAGGTAATGTTGTAGGAAATCCCATTACAGGAGGGTAATGGAGTCTGTCAGAAATACTCACTGCTCATGATATAGGAGGTCACATTGAGATTGTATTGTATTGTTTATCTTTTACCTTAGGTGTGACTGACATCACTACGTGAACTGTAGTTTCATGTGTTGCCTTGGCAACCGAGCGCACTTACTTGACCTGGGCCTCAGCCTGCATGTAGATAAACTCCCACTTCCTGGCAAAGGCTCTCTGCAGCCTGGCTAGGTTTTCCTGTTAGAGAGAAGATAAAGACACAGAGACATTGTCAAGGTGAAAATTAATATTAAAACTAAAACAAATTAAATGTTAAAGATATTAAACAGTTTTACTTACTTACTACTTAGATATCATCTTGTCACAGACACACCTAAATCTGACCTTTAACAGGTTGTGTTTTTCTGCCCCAAGCTTGACACACAGATCAATACTGAGAAGTAACAGCTTAGAGGAACAGTCCAGCACTCACCGCCTCATAATCTGCCAGCTCCAGCCTGGTCTTATTCTGCATGGTTCGCTTGCACAGGTAGATAGCTGAGAGAGAGAGAGACAGAGAGGATCAAAGACTGGGATTTATCAGTATAGACATTCTGCTCCTGCCATTCATCCACTCATCCATGCATCTTTCATCTCCTATGTACCTGCCTCACCTCTCCTCACCTCCCATGGTATGAGTATAATCAGTTTCAGAGGACGCCTGTCCACCTCTGTTGCTTTAGGATTATGAGGTGGAGTGTGAAGAGGCGCTGAGCCTTAAACTCCAGCAGTGGCTACCTCTGTGACAGGATGAGGGGCAGGAAGTGGACTGGTGATTGACTAATCCTGTCGAGTGGTCTTGTCTAAAGCGGGAGGTAAAAGTAGTGCTACAGTACAGTACATAACTCAGTGGGAGGTCATTTGTATTTATATTCCGGTATAACAGGATATATACTGTTTACACTGCCAGATCAAGTTGTATTATTTAGTACTTTTGAAGGCCAGTATATCAATATACTAAATTAAGATGTATTATTTAAATATTTAAGATTATTTCCATGTCAAATGTGTACATGAATTAAAGGTGTAACCCATATTTTCATATTCAATATATGGTTCAACTTTTTTCGCCATATACATTGATTATATTTACATTCTGTAGTCATCTATGGTTGTTTTCATTGTGAGTGGCAGAGTCCGCCATTCCAATTTTCCCATTTAAATTGCCTTTACTTTACCTCAGAATTTATTTTTCCCAAAATGTGCAATGATCAAAGCCTATGATGATCAACTATGTAGAGGGAGGCAGTTTCATAATTTGAGCCCAGCTAAAAAGTAAAGTCAACTTTACACAACAAACAACTGTCTGGGATGGACAACAATTGCTTATCAGATGACCTCAGCCTTTTAGGAGGACAGTGGTGATGTGAAATTCACCAAGATATGCTGGAGCTATAAAAAAGAAAAGTACAATCTTGTAGTCAAATCAAAATTTCACTGGTAATCAGTGCAATTATCCGAGTTAGTTAGCACATGAGCTGCCGCATTTTGCACCAGCTGAAGGCATGACACAGTAGTCCGACTGACTCCAAGATATAGTGCGTTGCAATAATACAGACAAGAAGAAATAAATGTAATAAATGTAATAAATTATTGTCTTGATATCTTTTGAAGAAACATATGCTTGAGCTTGCTTAGGCCTCTAAGATTGTAAAAAGACAATTTAACAGCAGCATTTATTTGTTTATCAAATATAATATCAGGGTTAAATAATATGTCAAGATTCTTAGCAGTGGGGTGGACATTGAAAGCTAATTTGTTTATGTTAGAAAGGAACAGAGGTTTTGAAATTGGTCTATAGTTGTTTGGATCTGTGCGGTCAAGGTGAGGGTTTTGGATGAGTGGCGGCATGATTACATATTTAAAAAATGCTTGGCCAGAAATAAGAGATAGATTTATAATAGACACAATAGATGGGCCTATGGTGTCAACTCCCTCTTTCAGGACCAGGAGAGAAACAAGTTAAAGTGTGTAAGAGGAGGGGTTTAAGTTGTTGTGTATGGTTAATTGTATTCTGCTGATTTTGAAAATGTAGAGTGCACCAAAACACTCTTTTCTGCAACAAGACATTTGTTCCAAAATAGAAAAAGTGATTGACGTGATGAACGTTAAACATCCTGTAAGTACCTGTAAAAATACAGTTGAGACACTGATACTGATCAACATCTGACATAACATTGTTGTCTTTTTGTGCCATGCAATACTTGTATTTCCATTTAAATACTATTCTCAGACTTTTCAATGTATCCCTTTAAGACTCTTACCGTAGTCTGTGTTCTCAGGCTCCCAACAGTTGGATGGCCAGAAATATGGCGCCTGACGGGAAATCCAAGTGAAAAGGTGAGAATCAAAAGATTTCCATCAACCAGTGGAGAGTCAAAACTATGCAGAAAAATGTATACTTTCAAAACTTTCCGACAAAAACTGGAGTGATGACGATGACCTTTACGAGACAGTTGTTTTGCCTCTGAGACACAGCAGTACACATGATTGCCTTGCACCACTATGTGAGCAATCAAAATATTTTTATTATCATCAGGCTTGAACGGATTCAGAACAGCTGACTCCTGAAATTTTTTCACTAGTAAGAAGCATCCTGGGGTGTTGCAGAGCCATGGGAGTACTGCAGCAACACAATAAAACGAGAAGCGATGAAAGCTGCAAAATAAACAATGGGAAAGCAGAACAATAAAGCCAGCAGGCAAAGAACAGATGCTGATAGGATTGTTATTTGACATAGCTCGCAGGGTATTGAATCAAAGTTTTAAAACCATCTTTAGTTGTTTAAATGAGGGGAAATTTTACATGGTGTTAATTGTTTTGATTTTCCTTCTCTGTGTTCCTCTTTGTCCTGCACTTAATTTGCCCGGAAAATGAAATGCTAATGAATGGTGATTATCTTTATGAAGTTTTTCTGTTATGGGAAACAGCCCTCCGCCTCCTCCTCCCCCTGCTCCTCCTTCCTGGTGTCTTCTCTGCCACTTCACTTTGAAGGAGGAGAACCAAGGTCAAAGAACGGTAACGTGCACTGCCGTCTGCTTTAATTAAACTGCTCTGGTGGATTCAGCCCTGCAACAAGACACAGTGAATAGGAAGGAAGAAGATGCTGCACAGTGATCATTCTAATCTCGCCATGTGCCGCCTTGCTGTTTCCCCACTGAGGAATGTGAAAACATTGTTTCCTATTTTTAATTAGGAAAATCAGGATAAAACAGTTTGGCATAATTCATCTGTGACTTTAATGCCACTGTCTTATCTGTGAACAGTGAAGGAAGAGTAATATGTCAGCACACTTTTCTTTCCTTTTTGTCCCTTGATGAGACTAATTCTACTACACTACTCTACTACACCATATCTCTCTGGTAGCCACCCACTCAGCTCGAACCAAGACCTCCTTCTCTCACTCGCTTGATGAATATTTTAACAGATCACCATTCATTTTTAATAGGGTCACAGGATCCCAACACAGTACTGAAGAAGCTGTAGACAGCGGACAGGGCCTTTTGTCATCAAGATCAAGATTGGTGTGTTGTAATTCCATAACAGAACAAGTAATCTTCAACAGCTGATTGGGGTCTTTATGAAAGCAAGTGCCCCCACAATCAGATTAACCTTGCTGGACTTTTCAGTATCTCTCACAGTAATGCAGGATGAAGAAGGGATTAGTTTGAGCTTAGGTCTGTTTCAAAAGGCACAAGGCAATTTGCATTTATTGGAGAGAAAAAAAAGAAACTTTAGTTTTTTATACACTATAAGTGCAAAAATACCAAAAGTCACATTGTAATGGAAATTGTAGTGGATTTTTGGTCATTTATTAAGCTACAGGCTAAAATGTCCTAGACCCACATCCCCATGTGACTTAAATATGTCGTTAAGTGCTTGCTCATGGTATGAACTGTTGGGTCTCTATACATTATTTATTTTTTAAGCTTGGTCTAGACATGCTCTATATAAAGTGTCCTGACATAACATCCTATGATTTGCCGCTATACAAAAAATTGAATTAACTAAGTCAAACTTTGACCTCTGACCTGCTAGAGGAAAAGTCAGCAGATCATTACACTTCATTCCCTGAAGTTGTTCAGATACTTCGATCAACCAAAGTGGTGGAACACTGCTAGCTAAAAACAGATTTGCTCTATACTGGTATACCAGTGTTCCTTAAAACATGCTGAATCAATACATTGAATACTGTTGGAATACCGTTAATATTGCACTGTAATGTAAATCCTTTCCTATTTTGAGCTATAATGCAATCCAGCAGATGTCTTGCCAAATTCAATCTGCTGTCACAAAATGGAGAACTAGAAATTTCTCACATCTCTAAGCAATGGCGTCATGTATGTGAAGGCAGTTATAAAAATTTTTCAAAATCAATGTGTTGGCTTTCTTGGAAACATTTGATATTCTAGGGTGACAAGAGAGAGGTTCAACAAAGCATCAGTTGCCTATTTCAGCATTCTCAACGGACCCTAAACCTATGACCCTACTTTTAAAACAGACCCCAACCTTAAAGTTAACTATCACATAAAGGCATATTCTCACATAACTCACTTGATTGCATGCTGAGTATCAGTTATGAACTATCTAAGAGTGAACATGATCTATTGTTACTAAAAGTCTGAGATGATGTCTTTATCATCACTTGATGCTCCTGCTCACCTGAAAGCGGTAAAAAGTGCCGTCGTCTTTGAGGGAGAGGACGTGGTCTGAGATAGGGAAGAAGTATCCCTGAGCTGCGATGAGACTTCCGATGTGCATGGCCTCAGCTGTGAAAGTAGTACAGATCATAGCAGGTTCCTCACCACTCTCACTCACTTATCATTTGTGTTGTGATATCTACTTGTACAAAAATGTATGTGGAAAATTTGGAGAAAAGCCACAAATGTACCATCTTCGTGTCGAATGTGACACTTTAGCTGCATTACACGTTTCTGATAACATTTTACCATGGATTTACACAGCCTTTTGTATCCTTTTGAATTTACATTGGATTTCAGCTATAGGATTCAGCTCTGACGTAGTTTGACTGGGGATGTAACATAGATGACTCAATGACTGACTCAGTGTCCAGGCTGTGGGCTACTGTACCAACAATAAACACTGCTCTCCCACCACCATGCCTCAGGTCAGGTTAACTAAACAACAAATCCATAACAAAAACTTGCCAGTATTTTTTGTTAAAACCAGAGTTTTCATATTTTCTTCCTCACTCTGGGTTGTTTTGGCACTTAATTTACCAGTATTAACTTGTGAAAACTTAATTTCTTAATGTGTTGTCATGGGAGCCTGTGGCTATTAACAGGGTAATTATATTAAGCATAAACCTATTGTTATTTTTCAAACCTTACCTGGATCCTCGATAGACAGGTTCTTCATCAGCCACTGTACAATATCTGTACCTAAATCAGATCAGACAGAGAAAGACAAATGACTGTTATAAAGTGTATGATCACAAAGAAACACTGGTTTTCTATTATTTACTCCCTTCAAATAAACTAAAAATAAACTTAAAAAAACTAAAGGAAATCACACAAGATGAGTGAGTTAATTAATAAGAAGGTAGATGATAAATGTAAAAACTGCACTAAAAATTAAGTGTAATGGAAGATTTTGTTAACCTTAAATGCACAGTGGAAAATCTGTCTGACATGGCTCAGGCAAGCAATCATGTTCATATGTTCAAGGCAATGAATTAAAGTTTTATCCACATTGCATTTACTCATATTCCCCGACTTCACTCTCTTTTTTGTGTTTCCCCAGAGGGAAATTGGAAACACCAGACGGAAACCTCTAACTGGGGGCAAACTCCTTAATTAAGCCAATAAGGAGTTTGAACATTGTGGGAAACATTTTGATAATGTAAGTACCCAACTCAACACAATCTGTAACATATAGGTCTTGTGTTTTTAGATATTTTAATGTGGAAATGTCACATTCAAACTAATTTAGATGCAGAAGCAAAATAAGAGTTATAAATTAATATTAATTAATTAAGGAAATGACCTACTTCGTCTAAAGCAGTGGTCTTGAAAAAGAAATACTTTAATAATGTAAAATTATGTCACACCACTGGCACTCGGCAGAGAGATATTTAGAGAACAGACATAATTTTATGTGATTCGTATGATTGGTAAACATACTGAACTAAAAAGCTTTTTTTTGCGGTGGAGATAGAGTATCATCTCATCTGTGCTTCCCCTCTGATTTCTGAGTCCCGAGGGAGGCTGTGTTTAATCCTTCATCATTCATTAGTTTCCTGGCCCTCGGCACTCAGCTGCAAACCTTTGAGCTGCTGATCTGCACATCTATCCGCTGCTGTAGTAATTGTGTTTATTGATACGCTCATGCTTTTGGCATTTTGGGGTAATGCATTTTCCATAAGTGCACAGACTCCGGAAAAAAGAAGAAGAATGTTAATAGCTTTTCTTTGTTTCCATCATTTGTTTGGATTGTGTCCAACCTCCCACTGTGGCTCCAGTCTGTTAAAGCGATTTAGATTAACAATCGAAGCAACTACAGCCAGCAGGCAAAGTGGCTGACTTCAATTTCTACCTGTCAGGTACAACTGGATAATAATGTTTTTATCATTCTATGTTAAGTGTTTATTTACGATTGAGTATGTTTTCCTAGTGATTCACATCAATACAGTTCCACACATTGACATCTACAGTTCGAGCTCTACTGAAGCAGTCAGAGGTTGATTGCCTTGCTTAAGGGCACCTTGACAGTAGGAGGACAGCATTACTCATTCAGTTTATGTACTCTCTTTTCCAAACACTTAATCATATATTGTCCTCCCACTTTCCCTCCAGCTATTAAGCTATTCTCCAGGAATCCACTGCTGAAGAAACACAGTAGTGGCCTCGACAGAACCAGAATGAAATACAGCTACAACACATATTGTATTTTGAGCTTTTAGCTCTATTGCCATTGCCATTCACAGCCACTAGGCTCTTTGCGTAACCCAAAACTGAATGCTGTAAGTTGACATCAATCCTGTGGGGACTGTTGTTTAAAAAACGAATTTTATGTATAAAAAGATTATGCAGATATGCTTTACCTTACAGCCCCATAATTTCCAAATGATGAGGAACAGGAAACTAATTCCTGTAATTATACAGAAATTTTCCTTCGAAGAAAATCTCCCTTTAAGCCTTTATTCTCCCTAATTTTGATTTGTATGTTTACTTGTACAAATTATTCGCAATTTCTTTCAAATTTTTACACAAATGCATGTTCAGCTGACTTGTGTAAATAACGCTGTCTCTAGTTTACTGAAAATTAGTACCAAGTAACCTAGTTCTATGCAGGAAACTTCCTTGGAGAGGATTGGGAAATTACAGACCTGTAAAATAAAGCATTACCGATTATGCAAGTTGAAAGGAAGTGGATATCTAACTATTCCTACAACATTGGTTGTTTGTTCAACATGCAAAGCTGCTCATATGAGTATTTGATGACAAACCAACAGACAATTAAAGAGCATTTTAACATATTTCTGCTCATTGTTTTGGTTTTGTGTCAACTTACTCTGCTTGATGTGTAAATGAGTAACTGTTTTATGACATGTTCATCATAATATAAGTTGAGTTAAATTAAAGCAATGCAACAACACATGTTTACCTTTTTCTGATACAGACCTCTAATGGTTGTAGAAAAAAATACTGTGTCTAAAGGAGCAAAGGAAGATGTAGTGTGATGTTGTTAGGCAGCCAAATAGTGATTGACCTTATTGTGTCAACAAAGTGTGTTTAAGTGGAAGAGCCATTTCACATGGCCACAACCAAATCTTAACCATAGTGGTGGCAGATCAGAAAACACAGGAATCATTCTGCCACGGTAGACCTGCAGATAGGGATGTCAGATGAGAAAACGTTCATATGGGTAATTTTGGAAGGCGGTGAGAAACAATATATAGTTTGTAGTTCTTACCTGTAACAACACTGGGGATTTTGGTCATGAAACTTTTGACAGTTCTGATGGGCACACCCTCTGTCTCATCCTGGATTTGAGTGACGATGTCTTCAATCTGCAGAGGAACAGAGACAGACAGGGAAGAGGAGATATAGTTAAATCAAGATGGATAGTATTTAAACTTTAATAGTATCCATTTGAGGCAAGGCATAATTGAAGGAATGATTAAATGTGCCATATTCAGTATATTAATAAACCATCACCACATTTCTGCCAGTTTCTACTCTGCATTTTATATTTGCCATGTGTCTTATTTAGGGGGTCTGCCTACTTCAAAGTTTCCAGTTTAGCTTGAAATGGTGCATCATTGGTAGAACTAATTTTTCCAAGATGTGATTATAATATGGTAAATCATCTTCAGACCATCTAATTTAGGGAAGAAGATCAGCGTTCAGTTCACTTTACTTCAGCTTAGGAAGAAGACACCTTCAAAAGTTAACCCTTTTAAAGAGGTTGTCTAATTTGATCCCTATATGTTGTTACCGTACATAACAATGATATCTAAAAAGCTGCTACAACAGCATAAAATGGGAGGAAAATCACAATCCTGAATCACATTAAATCATTTTATATATAAGCAGGAGATGAGGTTCAGCACACTAGGTGCCTATGACCTATTATCATAACTGTACAGATGTTAAATAAAACACATCGCCCACTTTACACTGTAGTAATCAGATTAGAGCATGAATAACTGTTGTTTTGATTACAATGCTGACACCCCATCTCTACACAGCTGCTTTTTTTTGCGTCAGAGAGTGGGAAGTGAGAAGTTGGTCGCTTTGGAGACCGCTAACGCGAAACTACCACACAACTCAGCAGCTATATATAACCTCAGAATCAAATCCAAGAACAGAGAGGTAGAGAGAACAGAGAGAGAGGTGGCTGCATATGTTTTATACCATTAAAGCGATCACATTAAAGAAGTGCTAAAAAAAAAAAGACAACAGTAGAAAATACCATATGTGCAAACTCAGTCATGCATGCACAGATCTCTACATGGAGGAAAAACACTTTCAACTTCCTGTGCTTCTAACACATACAGGTTATATTACTGCAGATATGTCCTCATGCTGTGTGCATTTTTCTGACCCTTTTAGCTTTATGAGTATATTTATAATGTGTGAGCTAGCTGTCAGTGGAGCACAATTCAGCGGGCACCCACGCTGGGTCAAAGATTACATGAGTACTTCCACAACAGACTCAAACAGACTCTACTTAATGTACAGAGCTTTAAATAGACAGAACATACAATAAATTCTGTACCGCACAAATCCTCCAAGATCTCTTGAAATTATCAAACATTGTGATATTACACATACATGCAAAACACTGTTAGTTTCGCTTTGCTGCTATATTTTTTGCTTGTATAAGTAGCTGATGCTTCATACTTGTAATATTATTGTGAATACAAACATGAGAACATGTGATCATTTAGCGAGGTGGAAGCTCAGGGAGGAAATGCAGGGTGAGCTGGCAGTAAATCTGCTACAGAAGAGAGAAATTCAGCTGCTTCATAAGAACAAAAAGACCAAAGGAGCAAAAGCATCATATTAGTTGTGGGCTGTGTATTTTGCATGCCTCAGCTAGTTAAATATGCTGTTTTCCCTGCACACCAGCTCTCAGAGCATGACCATCAGTAGTTCCTTGAAAATATCACAATTGGGCAATATGGTTTGTTTATTGATAACCTTATATTTGAACTAAAAAACTAAATAGTAGACATAAATAATCATCATCATTGTCCCTGACACTGAAAATTTGAGACTTAGGACTACACAAAGGCCCCTGAGAACTAAATAATAAAAGCAGACAATCAGTAATATATGGAGCAAACACAAGGTTGTACCGAGGCCAATCCCCTTTGAGATGTTTAATCTCTTGTAGTCATAGTTATCCACACATGCTTCTATATACAGTATAGGTTTTGGCCACTTAAAGGAATCGATCAGCACACACTTATTTGCTAACTTTTCATGAGAGGGCATCAGTCTAAGGATTGATACCCTCTCTCATGTCTGTAAATTAAGTATGGGGCTAGACCCGGAATATAAATTACCTTAGTATAAAGATAAATAAACTGGAAACAGGGGTGGGGGACAACTTGTTTGGCGCTTTTCCACCTCTAAAGCTAACTAATTAACACGTTATGTCTTGTTTGTTTAATCCAAGTAGAAATATAAAAACAAGCTATGATTTTACATAGAATTGTGATCTTGGTGGGGTCAATGACTTCCTGGAGTCTCTGCAGCGATAACAACTTGCTGTGCCAGGCCAAGAAATAATTACAGCATGTAACTCCTCGTTAAACCACAACTTGTCATCTTTATTTCTGTTTGAGTTCAGTTTTGGACAGAACCATCCTAGTTGTTTCCCCCTTGTTCACAGTCGTAAAGCTAAGTTAAGGTAATTGTCTCCTGGCAGTATGGAAGTATGAAAGTGGAATCAATCTTTCTCGAAAGGCAATAAGTCTCAAAATGTTGACCACGAGTCTGAGGGTTATGGTGGGAGCAGAACGAACAGTTTAGCCCAGGTATCAGCAAAGTGCATTACTCAAGCACACTAACATGCAAATATTAAAGAAAGGTTACACAAAAAACCCTATATCCCATTCACCTTCCAAGAAAAGATATTCCCAGCCAGTAAGAAGATTAAAACTGACAAGCCTCCTGCTTTTACCTCCTTGGAAAATCAGACTGCTGTCACCCTCTTCCCCTCTCTCGTTGAAAGAAACAGATCCTGGCTGCCTGCCATAAGCAAGGGCAGAGGCAGCTTCGGGCTGCACGTCAGAATCAATATAATAATACGATTCTAACAAGACCTTGATGGTGTGTTGAGACAGCTGGTCAAATGACTTTAATGGCTTCCGCTGTCATGAACAATTCATTCTTGCCCCACCAATCAAAATGGATAGTCACAAAAGGTTTATTGCAAGTTAGAACAGCCATCAACCCCAGATGGTAGGAAAAGATGCCAAGATTGTGTCCTCTAGGTTTGAAGATAAAAGATGCTACAATTTATAATCCAGAAAAAATACAGGAAAGTGAAACTTAGAAAGTTGAGTCGTAGCTGCATTAGATTAGTCAAAGTCTTTAGTATGAAACCAACAGCTTTACATAAGTATATCTTGGATTATTAGCACGGATTACATTATTACCACAGAAGCTGTCAAAGATACAACTAAAATAACTTAGGGAGCATCAAAAAGTGTACCTGAAATTATCATTTGTCTACAGTAGGTGGTGTGGATTCAAATACAGATTGAGTATTTCCCTCTGAGGTACAGATCACACAGCCCCAACCCCTACTGTCACTCTCCTGTGATTGGATCAAACCAACAATCAGCTTAGTTTCAGCTTCTATTCTCAGAACCAGTGGTTCTCAAACTGAGAGAGCACAGTGCCATGGTGGGGACAGCACACAACCATTGGGGACATATGGAGAGTATTTAAAGTTAAATAACGAAGAAACTTAACCATTATTATTGTGGTAGCACTTTACATTACAGCTCTGTCATAACATGGTAATAGTGGGGTAATAGTTTTATAAGAAATAGGTAATAATTAAGTAATATCAAAATATACAATTACTAAATAGGTTTGCATCGTTGTTTGCATGTTTCCTCATTATTGCACTTTTTCAGATCCTTCTCATCCTGTTACATAAATTGCAGTCTATTACCCAAATATACCTGTTGACAATACCTGGTTATTACTTTGGTAAATACATGGTAATGCTACTATCACCCCACAATTACCATATTATTACTGAGCTGTAATGTGCTACCATTATTGCCCAGAGGTGTGAGGTAAGTACAAATGCTTTGTTACAGTTCTTTAGTTCCCCCCCCCCAGGTATCTGTACTTTACTTCAGTATTTATTTTTCTGATTACTTTTTACTTTTACCTCTACATGTTTAAACAAGTGTCTGTACTTTCTACTTTTTCATCATTGCACACCTTATTTTTAAGCTCAGAGGATCATACATGCATATGTCATATGTGACATGTGTAGTACAACTACGGTATTCACATATGTAACTTACCATAAGTAATTTACCAGGAACTGGCCAATGTAGCACTCTGTGGGATTATGTTGGATTGTGTTTGGAATATATTTGCTCCACTGGCACAACATAAAGGTCTAAAGGGGGCTGCCTTTTTTCACCCCTCGCTGCCGTCTGTCTGTTTTGAGATGAGGATGAGGGTTAGGTTGGGCTTGTCGTCGAGATGGTAAAGGTTAGGGAATGTATTATGTCAGTGAGGGTCCTCCGAGATCCATACAAACATAAATGCACAACAGCTGAGTGTCTGCTGTGTTTTTGGATTGTGCAATGTTCTTGTTTGTTTGTGTTCTTGCTTTGAACGCAGCCCAGTAGGAGCAGATTTCATCAGACTTATTGCAAGCCACTCTATTTAACGCCCCGTGGGGCAGTGGGCTGCCTGATTACAGTGTTATCACCACAAGCTTAGCATGGACAAACTAGGGGATGGCAGGCAGCCTGGCAGACAGGTGGGTTATGGGGCGACAAAAACTATGCTGTTGATTGGGGTTTAATGATCGCCTTGGGCAACAGGATGGCCATCCAATTGAACTCACCAGAAATGCGGATGCCATCGTCTCTGTCCCTTAGTAATCTGTTAATAGGTAAGTGGGTATCATATTTACTGCAGTTTTATGCAAGACTGGATAGTGAGGTGTAGGCAGGCAAATATGAGCACAATATTCTTCCAAACTGATTTATGACAAGGTTCATCTTTAGAAAGTGATTCATGCTACTGAGGCGATGAAGAAATTATTAACATTTTTCAGTTTGGGTAAAAACACAAATACCACAATGTGAACATATTCCATTACAAATCTTGCGTTCTAAATTACAAAAGTACAAAAGTATTATCAGAAAAAGTGTACGTAAGGTGTAAAAGTACTAATTTTGTGTTATATTATCATATAATATATCATTATTACAGCTTTATGTTAAGCTAAAAACATGGTAGTGTCACTTCTGGCCAATGAGAGAATAGTAAGTTACATAAGAGTTATTCAGAATAGTAG